GCTGTGATAAATACGAAGAAGCGCAAGTCACCTAGTCCCGGCGTCATCGAGGATCCTGCCGCTGGAAGCGCCATTGGGAGCGGGTTTGTCAATATCCGGCAGACGCTGAAAGAGCTTCCTCTTTTCTCGAACCTCCCGCCTGATATTCTCCACTTCCTTGGGTTGAGTGTTCAGCCGCGAGCGTATGCCCCCTTCAACGACATTATTCGACAGGGTATGCCTGGCAATGACATATTCTTCATCGTGAGGGGAGAAGCAGAAGTAATCCATGACCCCCCGAAAGAAATCCAGGAGGGCGCGGACAGCCTCTCTCGCCTTCAAAAGCGCCCGCGCTTGAGAGCGGGCCAGTACTTTGGTGAAGTAACCAGCCTGGGGCTATCCCCAGGGCGCACTGCAACGGTCCGGTCAATCACCACTGTCGAGTGCTTAGTGATCCCTGGTGACACTCTGAATGAGCTCTGGAGGCGGTGTCCGCCCGATATCAAATCTCAAGTGGAAGAGACGGCGCGCTTGCGTTTCGGCAAGCAGGATGATGATGTTGATATGCTTGGTGCCGAATCGCAGTCGAAAGCCAGCAAGTCCGACCCGCCAACACCAACTACACCCACAGCACCGTTAGGCATCTCCCCCCATCTTACTTTCACCTCTCCCTCGAAGCCAAGTTCACCTAACAAGGAGGAGCCAGAGCGAATGGAGCCCAAGGATCCCGACCCTTTTCTGAGCGTTGACATGGAGAATTTGAGGAACCGACGGCGACATTCGTTGGCACCACCGACCCCTCTCCCGGACAACTCGTCCCCCTTGGCGAATGGTCTCCGCCCCCAATCATTGAGGATCACACCTGCCAGATTTGCAACAGCAGACTTCTCGCCAGACTCCGATCTACCCGCTAAGAGAGTGAAAACGCTGCCGCGTCGTCCCCATAAGGTGTTGCAGCCTACATTTCCAGACGATATTTTGACGAGAATATTTGGCTCCCTTGATATTGGAGAGCTTCTTCGCCTTCGTCTGGTACATAGCCACTGGAAGAGGCTTCTGCATACCTCGGATAGAATCTGTCATCTGGTTGACCTCTCAATTTACAACCGCAAGGTCACAGACGCCGTGATACGAGAAGTCCTGGTCCCCTTCATTGGCTCGCGCGCCCAGGTGATAGACCTTAACAATTGCTTCCATATCTCCGACGAAGGGTTCTCGACCTTGTGGAAGGCTTGTGGCAAGAATGTGAAGGTATGGAGGATGCGGTCTGTGTGGGATGTTTCGGCGAGCCAGATCCTGGAGATGAGCGAAAACGCAAAGAGCTTGCAAGAGGTCGACTGGAGTAACTGCCGCAAAGTTGGGGACAATCTGCTAGGGCGTGTTGTTGGCTGGGTGGTACCGGAGCCTCCGCCGTCGAATTCGAATAGACAGGTTGTCATTTCGAGTTCGAGTACCAAACCCAAGACGAGGTCACAACAGAAGCAGCAGCAGCAACAACAACAGCAGCAGCAACAACAGCAGCAGCAGCAGAAATCTCAGAGGCCTCAGAACATGCCAGCGCCAGGAACCGTTATCGGATGCCCAAAGCTGCGGAAACTTAACCTTTCCTACTGCAAACATATCACGGATCGGTCCATGGCTCACTTAGCTGCGCATGCCTCTACCCGTATTGAATCCCTAACTCTGACTCGCTGCACATCGATCTCGGATGCAGGTTTCCAATCTTGGGCTTCGTTCAAATTTGAGAGGCTATGGAATTTGGGGTTGGCAGACTGTACCTACCTCTCGGATAATGCCGTCGTGGCGCTTGTCAATTCCGCAAAGAATCTAACGCATCTGGATCTGTCTTTCTGCTGCGCCCTATCCGACACGGCCACTGAGGTTGTGGCTCTCGGCCTCCCGAGGCTCCGGGAACTCAAACTGGCATTTTGTGGAAGTGCCGTGAGTGATGCCAGTTTGGAGAGCATTGCGCTACATCTCAACGAGCTGGAGGGACTTAGTGTCCGAGGGTGTGTCCGTGTCACTGGAAAGGGTGTGGAGAATATTCTCCGAGGCTGCACCCAGCTCGAGTGGCTTGACGCGAGTCAGTGCCGCAACCTGGAACCTTGGATTCGCACCGGGGGAGTAGAGAGATGGGGTTACGACAATCGCTTCCCGAAGACCCCCGAGCAGATTGCGGCGTGGCGCTCGCCGATTCTGAGCCCCCCTTCCACTGAGCAAACCGCACTGCCGGGCAAGATGAGTGTCGCGATGCTCACTACGCCAAGCTACCTCACGCAAACCGGCGTCTTGGGGAGGAGACCAAGGCGCCCTGTTCGATTCATCATCGAGAAGGGGACTGACGGCCTGCGTTGATATGATGTAACGTCTTGTTTATTATGATTTTCTTTTGTTACGAGCTGGGTGTACCCCTCGTTTTCGGTCTTGGCTCAACATCCCCACATGTCAAGCATTGCTACCAAAAGGCCGATTTTGGATACTCTCATCGCGATGGAGGGGTAAAAGTTACCGAGGGTTTGTTTCTCGAGCACATTGGCAGAAAAAGGGATTTCTGGTCCGTGGTGCATTTGGTGCATATAGGTATTGGGGCATGGCAAGAGCAGGACTATGTAACTCAGTTGTGTCAGGATATGATACCCTTCTGATCATTTGGGCTACGACGGATAACATGCGAGTTATGATGTATGGTGTTTTGTTTTGTCCTTTTAGAAAAAAATGAGCAGCTGTCTTAGAGGGGTGGTTTGGTAGGTAGTTCGGCCTTTAGTGTAACGAATGGACCGGTGGGGATATTGCATCAATGTCGAATAGATCTTATCTGGTATCTAATTGGGCATTTTATTTATATGAACTGTACGACTCTCGGCGATCCGGGCTTGGAGTTTTTATCTGCGAGAGAGTAAATCCGAGGGCTGTGTTGTGCTTGGTAAGTGACTGAACGCGGAGCATCTCGGGCCCTGATATTGCAGCGAGCCTCAGCAGTTCTCTGGACCAGTGTGTTTGGGCCAATTGGCCAGTCACAGCAGGCTAGAGACCCATGACGCTACGGCGAGGTTCCGGCTTGCTGATTAACACCGGCTTCTGGTAGGCGCGGGAAAATTTCCACCTCTTTCCATTCGCTGCACGTGACGCGGACTTTGCTAAGCTCCAGGTCCTTCGGCACGGACAGACGTCACATCGTTTGCCTCAGGTGCAGCCGCAGTGAGTGTCAAATACTCATCCCCGCCTCCGTCCCTCAAGGTCGATATCTTTTTCCCTTTTCGCCCATTCTCCTCGCCAACGAATCCGGAATCACATACTCTAATCCAAAACACTCAAAATACTCGATAGAGCGTCCCTACAGCAATGTCGTTCACAATCACAGTCCGCCAGGGCCCGCGGCTGGCGCACCAACTGCCCCAGGTGCTGTCCAAGTCGGCATTCCGATCCGCCGCTCCCGCACGAGCCTTCCACCAGCAGCCCATGAAGCGCATGAGCGCCAGCTTCTTCACATCCCGAGTCGCCTCGTCGTCGTCGCAAAGGGCGTCCAAGAATGCGTTCTCGCGTGCGAGCGGCGCCGCCCGGTCGTACTACCAGCAGGCGCAGCAGCAGCAGGAGGGCGCCCTCGCCGGCTCGGGGATGCGCAAGTTGCTGGTCGGCGGCGCCATCTTCGGTGGCACCCTCGTCGCGATCAACCTCGTCTTCAACCGCGAGACGAGGGACGACGGCGGCATGCCCGTGTACGAGCGGGAGTACCTGAATAACACGTTCCTGCACACCGGTCTGGGCATTGGCATTATCGGCCTGACGGCTAGGCAGATGGTGCAGACTGGCTTCGTGTACCGGTTGATGGTCACCAACCCGTGGGTCGTTGGTATTGGTGGTCTGGCTCTGAGCTTCGCTACCATGATTGGAACCCGGTCCATCAGCCCTGATAAGTAAGTCAATTCTGATAATCTACTTCTCATTATGAATAGAGCTGACTTTATGGAAATAGCTATGTCCCCAAGTACGCTCTCTGGACCGCTTTCAACGCCACCCAGGCCGCCTTCGTTGCCCCTCTTCTGGCATTCGTCCCCCGCGCTCTTCTCGGCCGTGCTGGTCTCTACACCGTCGCCATGATGGGTGCTCTGTCAGTCGTCGGTGCCACTGCTAAGCAGGAGAAGTACCTGTACATTGGTGGTCCCCTCCTGGCAGGTGCCGCTATTGTGGCCGCATCTGGATTCGCTCCTCTCATCATCCCCGCCACCGCTGTGCGCACGCTCGCCTTCACCGAGAACCTGTGGCTGTATGGTGGTCTGGCCGTCTTCGGCGGTTTCACCCTGTACGATGTCCAGAAGGTTCTCTACCACGCCCGCCTGGCCCAGGCCGGTGTGATGCGCCGTGACCCCGTCAACGAGAGCATCTCCCTGGAGCTCGACTTCCTCAACATCTTCATCCGCATGGTCCAGATCCTTATGCTGCAACAGAACAGGAGGAAGTAGATCCAAAAAGGATTTAAAGCCTTTTTCGCTAAAGACCTCCGGTTACACCATTCATCTTCACTATTACGGAGTTTAAAAAAGAAAATCTCCCTCTTTGTTCTTCCAAGATTCCCCTAGTTTCTAATAATTGAAAATTATGCCTTTATCATGAGATGGAAGTAGCATAATGATTGACGCCTCAATCGCCAATGCGAAAGTTATCATTACAGCAGACATGACTGTTTGCGCTCCTATCATCAGCACGCAGGGTCAGGCTATCAAAGAAAGCCTGCCCTGCATGGAGAGTAGTTTTCATACTACCCGGTAACAGGTTGGGTGGGAAGTGAGGATTCAGAATGCGCTGTCTATATGTAGGATAGATCATCAAGTAACACAACTCAGATTATTGTACAATAAACACATCAAGCTCAAATCGCGACCTCTGCATATTCACCACAGTGATATAAAAGAATAGCTGCTCTCATGTGATAAAATGTCCTATATTACTCATTCTTTTTCATTCAACTGTATTGAGCTATAACAGCCCCAAACCAGCAGTCTCATCATGAATCCCACCCTATTCTACTGCAAGGGCGGGAAAGGCTGGATAAAGTGCGTAGGGCACTCGTAGCCCCCCGGCGTCCTCTCGAGGTACCGCTGGTGGTACTCCTCCGCGCTCCACCACTGCCCCGCGGGCGAGATCTCTGTGACGATGCCCCCCTTCCACCACTGCTCGTTGGCGCGCGCCGTGACGTCGCGCGCCTCGGCCTCCTGCTGCGCGTCGTGGTAGAAGATGGCGGAGCGGTACTGGGGCCCGCGGTCGGGGCCCTGGCTGTTGAGGGTGGTGGGGTCGTGCGTCTTGTAGAAGAACTCGAGGAGCTGGCGGTAGGTGACCTGCGAGGGGTCAAAGGTGATCTCGACAGCTTCGGCGTCTACATAATTGCTCTGGTTAGCTATGGACAATTTGGGGGTGGGATAGGGGAGGGAAAGCTTACGGCCGGTCTTGCCTCCGCAGACGACCTTGTAGCTGGGGTCGTTGAGGTCGCCGCCCGTGTAGCCGACCTTGGCGTCGATGAGGCCCTTGCCGGTGAAGTGCTTGCGGTAGAGGTGCTCGGTGCCCCAGAAGCAGCCGGAGGCGATGGTGCAGCGCTGGGTGGTTGCGCCGCCTGCGCCGCCGTCCGCGGCGAGGGAGAGGCGGGCGGAGTAGGTGAAGGGGCGGATGAGGCGCGCCAGGAGGGGAGGGAGGTGGTTGGCCATGGTTGTGATCTCAATACGAGGGGGGTCCTTTATTGGAGCTTGGTGTTTAGTATGAGAGCTGTTGGGATTGTTGCGAGAGAGAATTGGGAGAGGAGCTCACCGTATAAAAGATGCGGACTGCCAGTGTAGTTGATTTATAACCAGTGGCTTGGGACGTCTAAGCCTTTCCTTTTCGCCTGCGTATTAGGCTGCGGGATCCGATCTGGGTGTTGACGTGATGGATACCCCGCCAATCTGAGCACATCTAATCCCGATAAGATGAGATGATGGCAGTGTCACGGTAAGAATAAGCTAAACGCAATACGTCTTGCGCAATTGAATGGCGGGGCAGCGAGTCTCGTTGAGAGCTATCCGTACGGAGTACAAGGGTCTTAATTATGCGAGCAAGTTCTGCAAATTCTTTAACAGGGCATTCAATCAATTTGTCGCGTATATAAAACTCGGACACTGTGCTAAGCCAAGGAATCCTTTGTATACTCCTTATAGCAATTTGTAATTATCCATTTCAAACTTATGGAGAAAAGACACTGGAGATTTAGGGGTCATTCCAGAGAGATAATGTGGCGGCAACCTACCTACGCTACTTTGTTCCATTGAAATATATACATAGATGAGTATTCTGCCGGTAAATACATCTTGTAACTAGATATGCTCGCATTTTATAGTAGTTGTTATCTGACCACTTGGTACCCTTACGCAGGTATACGAGGTAGATCTCCCAGCAGTCTCTCCGACTCAGAAGATCGTTATAAATAGGGTCAGATTCAGCTGAGATCTCGGCCCTGTGAATCCAGGGCTTGGACGAGTTCTTCGGAGGACCAAAGCTCCCTATCCTTGGTATATCCATTATTAAAGGCGTGTTCAGAATTTAGGTAGGTAATGAGGATGTTTGATGTGGGTTTTGTGGTAGAAAAGTAAGTATAAAATCTGAGCCTTGTTATGATTTGCCTTGGGGAGTGGCTCGCTCTCAGGCACCATGTAGTCGTTGCATTCATTTTAGGGCTGTGTAACAAGCTACCTATTTCAGAAACGACGGCCGACAAAACGACCAGAACTTCAACTGATACAACGACCGCGGAAGTCAATGCATTAACTATTACAACAACCGCGACAAAGATCGTGATAGGAAGAACTCCTGGGACAAGAAAAAGAAGGTACATTTCAACGACCAAAATGATGACAATCGCTTCCCCGGTAACCGAAACGACCAATACAACAAAGGACGAGGCAATAAAGGTCTATACTATCGCCGCCCTAAAATTCCAGGGCAAAAGGTAGGTCGCTGCCACTATTACTCAAGGCCGCTGCGCGCTGCACGATGGCAGAGTACACTCTCTCTGCCGGCTCGTACCTCTCATCCTCAATCTCAATGGACCAGCCAAGGCTTCCAAGGCCAAAGCAGACTACCTTGTTAATATGCTTTGAGATTGCGGCTTGTTCGGCCAGGACTTTGGCGATCGCTCCGCATGTGTGGCTGAGAGGCCAACGATGGTTCACGATGGCATCCCATTCCCCTCAGATCCTGTCAAAGGCCCTCACCTTTCTACCTATCTTTCATAGTCTGCGTCGAGAATCCTGCAACAGCACAACCCAAGATGGTGTACTACCTTGGCTCCGTCGAGCTGTACAAGGGGGAAGCCAACCTCCCCCACCTGACCAAGAACCTGCTCCATCAATGGGTCAACTGTGGTAAATCACGGGCTGACATGGTACCTGAGGCGATGTGAGCCGAGCATCACAAGCGAATGGCTATGATCCTTTTTTTTTTCGCCAGGCGGTAGCAGACATGGGCTATGGCTTCGGGACCGATTACAGCTAGCCAGAGGCCAGTCGTGTTGTGTTCCGGGGGCTGTGACGAGTATTGTTCAGTTATTGCGGGCTGGAATTGAACAACAAGATAGGCAATACACAAGATTATTCTGCCTATTTATAGAAAAATATTTGCTTGTGATTGATCATCAATCTGGTGTCTCGTTTATTTTGTCACCTAGCTAACTAGATAACTTAGATGCATGCAATTATCACTTTGTAGGGTGGTGCAATGAAATATGGCTCCCGAGGTATACAGCTCTTAAAAATATACGGAGAAGACAGATTAAGGTCAGACAATTGTATTTGCAAATATGTTGCTGCAGCTATTTCATGATGTCGTTGAAAATATATACTTTGAAGCTCCTCCTGCTGAGTGTGCTTCAGTGCCCCCTTTAAATAAGAAAATAAAGCAAGTGCAATTCTCAAAGCTAGATAATAGAGGAATGCTATTGAAAGCTTCCTTGTCAGTAAGCATGATCATAACATTTATATTGATCGATGCTACTCGCATGTAACTAAAATCGATGGCATATAAAAGTCTTTAGGAAAGGAATTGCTTTAAAGTGAATACTGCTGATTGTGAAAGAAAATTCAAGGGGCGAAACAGCGCATGGTATATGTCCGGAGTAATAGTCGGATCCTTATTGGTTATATTCAGGGATGGTGCCAACCCAGGCACTGAGAGGCTGCAATGTCGACATGGCCTCAAATACGCCTGCATCTAGGCCGTTCGGTTGGGGATCGAAACCTTCCGTTCCATTGATGGGCGCTTGAAACAGGAACTCAGTGCCAGTCGGCGGGGGTTGTGAAGGCTCACCCTGTACTGGAGGGCCATACACCACCTCGGGCATCGAAGCTTCGGAGGGTGTGTTCACTATCGGTATGATTTGCGAAGTCTGCAAGGCTTGGTGGACAGCATTCATATTAATTCCGAGAATGGCAAGCTCCTTGTTGATGAGATTCAAAGCGCCCCCGAGCACTAACTCTAGTTAGCAGTTTGAAGGATACTTCCCACGGAAAGAAGGAGCATGTGACTCGGGTAGCAGATGGGTTGCCTTACTGGGGCTGTATTTCTTGACTTCGCTGAGAACCCGGATACAGAAGGCCAGCCTGTGAAGCGCGTGGCTGTCCCCCGGGAATGCTTGAACTTGTAAAAGATATATTGTAGCCGCAATGTAGACCGAGTATGACACTGAGAGCACACAGTACTTGATGCCGAACGTCGAGACGAACAGGTTGAAAATGGCGATAATCGAGGTTGCTGACGTGACGCACTGGAACAGATAGCTGTGCACCGGAGCAGGCTCGCCGTCGGTTTTGACACCCCGAGTCAACATGGGCCTGTAGAGCAGGATCCTGAACGTATGATAGAGGCAGCTAAATTTGTTAGTCTGGACGGATGGTATGGTACATGCAAGTACGTCAGTAACAACCGACTTACTTCATAGTGACAATGTGCGAAGGAGGTGAAATGGAGGGCAATGCGTTGGGATCAATGCGCAGAAACAGAGGAAGCTCGTTCCACCACTGCTGGAAGGCTGCTTCTTGGGAATACAGACACTCCTCGACTTCTTCTACCGTATTTTGGAAGAGAGGGTCATACATATGGACCAGAATCTGATTGAAAATTACGGACAATTGACACATGCTCATGAAACACGATGCAGAGTGAGCCGTTGTAGGGGGGTAACTCCCAGCGACATTCCCGGATAGCCCGAAAGGAACCCATAGATCATTCTCGGCAGAATTGTCAACTGTCCACATGTTGTCAGTTGGGAAATGACATCGGAGAACGCGGTGTCCCAGTATAACACTTACACATGGTATGAGGAGGCGATACAGCAGTGTGCTGAATTGTAGGTGAGCGGCCCAGGTAGAGGCTGATCATTTTGTCCCAGAAGTAGCAGCTCCAGAAAAGTCTGCGGCGTATCTCAACGTCCTCGTCACTGAGGTGAACAGAACTGACGTACCTCTCGTTGTCTACACAGATGCCCATGTGGTCCATGAGCCTGAATGCCATGCCACTGTAGGTCCATGCTTGGGTGGCATTTCCAAGCCCACTTTCGTTGGCGCTCAGCAGCAAAAGGGTCTGGATAGTCGGCACGGTACAAGTGCCGTTGCTAAGTTCATCGAAGACAGAGCTACGTGCATGTTTGCCAAAGATGGCACCGCCTTGATACGATTCGTCAAGGATCCTGTTGATGACAGGATTATTTCTGCCCCAGCGAATAGACTGAGAGAGCAAGGCGTTCAAGAGCGTGTGTGAATAGTATGGACCCATGGACTGCATGTCGCCTGCATGATTTTTAAAAACAAAACATTGTTAGTTAAGCCGGATGACGGGTCACGGTGGGAGGGTAGTTGTTGCGTACGAGCAAAGGCCGGCTTGTACACGAAGTTAAATAGGGGGTGAACCCAACACCAATGGACATTCAAGAGATGGCGAAATGGTTCCTGCTGATGTTAGTTCAAACCACAGAAGCCAGTCATACAATGTGCTTTCAACTCACTGGTATATCGGAGAGGTTTTCCAACGCACGCTGTTGCCAGGCATTGGTAACAAGTCTCTCTCTCCGTTGATCGGGTGCCTCAGTCAGAGGCAGGAAATTATTTCCAGGTGTGCTGCGCTCGCTGGGCAAGTGGAAGAAGCTGGTGGCGCCATGATATGTAACGCCGCCTCGCTCGTCCAACTTGAGCCCCCGGAACTTGCGCGTCATGGAGGGATGGTTGTCGGCCGCAAGCCTGGTTTGCGACGAGACATCATGGGAGCTAAATGAAGGAGGGCTGGAATGTGAGGAGGAGGGGTGGGTAGAGATAGGCGACTTGGACAGAGTCGTAACATGGTCCTCGAGTTCCTTGATGCGCTTCTCCAGGCGCTGTGTATAGGAAAGTGTCGGGTTTCTGGAGTAAGACAAGGTGGTATGCGCCGGTTAACAAGGATCCAATGCGATGCGATGTGGCGCGCAGGTAGCACACGACCACCGGGTCTGCTGCAGCACACAGGAACTTCTTTCTAGAACGACTGCACTTACAGCTTGTAGACACACTCTTCCTGACGGGATGCACATCGGTTGCACACAGGCTGTTCACCACCGCATTTGACCTATTATTGGGGATGCGATGAGCACTCTGATACGCGAGATATTCCGAAGCAACACACAAACACGGGGCGGAAGGAGAATTATGGGGAAGGCCAGGTGAGACAGGCATATAGACGGACGAATTGACGGCGACAGCGCTCTTCAATTGATCCTGGTCCGGCAGGAGAAGGGTGAAGGAAAGGAAAAGCTTTGCTCACCTTTCGTCTCCGGCAGGGCTCGCAGGAAAAGGCACTCTTCTTAGTGGCTTTTGCCGATGTCGACATATCTGGTGTCAAGCGTGATGAGAAGAGGAAGAAGAGAAGACCAACCCGGGCGGCGGTGATGGCTCACAACACCGTCCATTCCATTCTCGTGGCCGAGAGAGAGTTCGGTACCTGCTGCGAAAATTCCCCGCGTTCTAATGCCGAGTGCTGGCTGCTGGCCCCCACCACGGTGAGTGAAGCCTGTAAGTGAGCCCGCGAGCACTTGCCCGGATCCATTTCTGGGTGCCACCCCCTAGGCTCTAGCGAGTTAGAGCCTTGTTGGTGGTCGAGCTTAACGCTGCCCCTCGCTAAAGTGGCCGATACAGGCATCGACTCGCGCTGTATGTCACCGATGTTCGCTGCCCCCATGGCAAATTTTCCCTCACAACATCCAGGGGGCGCTTCTAGAATTCTTCAAGAAGTTTAGCCGAGAGAATGATCCTTTTCGGGTAGAGCCAGTGATGACGTCGGTGTTTATTCGGTATCCGAGCTTAGCCAAACACATTGATCCTATTGTCATACGGATTCTCTTCCCTAACGGCTCCGACAGCCGCAAAAAGGGATTCAGTCCGCGGCTGATCAAGCCTGTATACACTTTTGCCAGTGAGACCAGGTCTCACTGTTGAATCCCCAGCCAGCGAGTTGGCGTTGCTGGACTTTGCTCATCTAGGTAATGTCTCTTCAGCCGCATGTGCCGTCCCGGAGCTCCGTGTGATCGGATCTTACGGCAGGCCCCGATCACCGTCCATCTGCCCCGCGCCCGGAGGAGGCCGGCTCACTCGTTTGTGGCCTCTCGGCGGTAGGGTTGGATGTTTCATAGGCCATATTCTTGGTGGAAATTGGCTTTTTGCGTGTCAATTCGATAAGACGCAAGAGTGTTTAGAAACACACGTCAGCTGGCCTCTGAGCACCGGCTACATGCTATCAGCGACTCTTAACCCTTGTCTCCGAATCGGAATCAATGTTACACAACAGCGAGAAGAATGTGTTGCTATATCAGCTTGAAAATGCAGCGCATGAGCAGCGCATATTGTTCTGCACTATTGAAATATTGGCTCTACCCATCTCCGGAGACATATTTGGCCGTCTCAACTCTCACATCGCTTATGATATCACACAAGACTTTTGGGTCAATAGCGCTGCTTTGAGAGGAGAATTTGGCAATTCTAAGTATGGTATGTTGATGGTAGCAATCAAGAGCTCCTTTGAAGACATAACATCATGTTTTGGCTGATTCGGGGACTACCTACCTGGTACTGATATAGCCACGATCCTATCTTTAGGTCGCATGCAATTGGCATTGAATGGCAACAGCGGAGTAGGCTGCTAATTATTGCCGACACTGAAAGTAATCTGATACAATGGAGAAGATCCCTTCAAATTTCTTTTTGGGTTTCTACCAAATTGGGCGCCACTTAGAGTCAAGTTATAGCTGATATGTCACATTTCATTAACGCTATCAATGTAAGGGGCCGCCGTAATGTCTTGATGGGCCAATAAGTCGGTAGGCTTGAATATTACATTTTACTGGGCATCCTCATTGCTCCATCCAAGCGGATCACGACGCCATTGAGCATAATGTTCTCGATCGCCTGCCTCACCAGCTGGGCAAACTCGTTTGGCTGGCCGGCCCTTCTGGGGAATTCCATTGCACCCTCCAAGCTTTTCCTCACCTTCTCCGACATCATGCTTGTCATTCGGCTCTCGAACAGACTCGGGGCAATTGTGACAACTCTAATACCATAGCGGGCTAGATCTCGCGCCATTGGCAGCGTCATGGCCGCGACAGCTCCTTTGCTGGCCGAGTACGAGACTTGGCCCTTTTGGCCATCGAAGGCTGCTGATGAGGCCACCATGATGACAACACCACGCTCCGAGTCTGGCCCAGATGGCGGGGTCTGCGCAAGCTGCTCTAATGACTGCCGGACGAGATCAATAGTCCCACGCAGATTTACATTGAGAACAAAGTCGAAATCATCCAGACTGAATGCTGAGCCATCGCGTCCCAGAATCTGCTCTCGGCTGTTAGTTTCCATCCAATGAAAGACAAGAATCGGAGTCACCCACAGTCGATGGCGTTGATACGCCGGCGGCGGGGATGACGCCGCCGAGTGCTTTGCCCGTTTCTTTGATCCAGCTGACGGTGCCTTGTACCGCGGCTGTAATGCTCTCGGTTTCGAGGACGTTGCAGACAAAGAATTTTACCGAGTCTCCAATCTCTTTTGCGAACTCGAGACCTTGCTCTTCATTCATGTCCAGTATGGCAACGTTGCCTCCATTGTTGCATATCTCCTCCACGCAGGCTCTCCCCAGGCCAGAAGCTCTATTGCCGAGTCAGCTGAGTATCACATGTGAACTGAGCTCCGGAAACTTACCCGCCGGAAATAATAAATGTGCGATTTTCAATCTTCATGTTTACAGTTATAGAGTGGTGCTAGTGATGGAAATCTCAAAAGACTAGATTGGCCGGGTTTTAACAAGATGACAATGTGTTTTAAATGAGGACTTCTGAGGCTGTCTTGGTTGCAATTCTACCTCGGCACGGCAACGTCATTAGGGGCGCTGCTCAGTAGTACTTAATCCCTACCTGCTGTAAGTCACAGCGCTTTAACTTTGCGCAGCCCGCATCGGATGCCAACGACAGAATTGTGTTTGACAACGGAAATTACAACAAGGAAATCCTTTGTTAGGTAAACAAAATATGAGCCCATCGTGTCTGGAAACAATTTGCCTATCTGCGCAATGACGCCCGCGGACCTGATTTGTTACCTCGATTGTATCACCGATGCGGTCATGCATGTGCTAACCAAGCCGGGGTACTTTAAAGTGATGCGCTGAACGCCATTTTTCGGGGTCCCAGCTCTATCTTCGAATCTTGATAGGCAGCTTACATAACTCAGCAGGGGACCCCTACACCTTGCCTTGTAATTGCATGGTATCATCCAGCGTCCATCGCCCATGCTCCTTCACCGTTATATTGTTGCGCTACTTGCCCCTGCTCAATACCGTCGTCACATCTGTCTTCAAATTGTCCGATCTGCCTTTATCGTTAGCCAGATACACTGAAGCACTTCGGATCCCCGGGACCAGGCATGCGAGTGCGTTCGACATAATTCAATCGGCTTTGCGACACGCTACAACCATGACGAGGCCGCGGCGGTCTTCTGGTGCTAGCGAGGAGAGCGGCGGGACCGCGCCTGAACAGGTTCGCTTCACCACCTCGGAAGACGAGGACTTTGCGCAAACCCCGTTTCGCCGGTAGCTGACAGTAGTAGGAGCTTGGTAGCATGTATGACTATTTGGCAAAGATTATTTTATTGGGCCCCAGTGGTACTGGAAAGTAAGAGCCAACCCGACCTCCATACGTGATATCGACGAACCACGACTTCTAACGCCGGCTTTACAAACAGGTCATGTTTACTCCACCGATTCGTCAAGAATGAATGGCGAGTATTGTCGTCCCAAACCATCGGTGTCGAATTTGCGAGTAAGATCATTAGAGTTGGAACTGGATCGCGGCGCAAAAGGATCAAGCTCCAGGTAAGGAAAACAGCAAACGGCCAGCTCTCCGACCTACCTTGCCGGACGCTGAACAAATATATAGCTTTGGGATACCGCCGGAACCGAACGATTCCGATCAGTTTCAAGATCATATTACCGCGGCGCCGCCGGCGCCATCTTAGTGTACGATATCGCATCCCACTCTTCGTTTCGAGCCATCCAGCCCTTCCTCAACGATGCCCGCGCGCTGGCATCCCCCAACCTCAGCCTCATGCTTGTCGGCAACAAGCTCGACTTAATATCCGATCCTCTGGTGGACACGAGCATATCTTCTACGACGCCTAGTAGTGTGAGCTCAAATGCAACGATAACACCCAGAGACAGTCAATCTTTCTCGACATCAGTTTCGACTACAGGAATGGGGTCTTTGAGAGAGCACGGCGGTTCGCTAAGCGCGGCAACCCACCAAAGAGCGACTATTGCAATGGAGGGCCGCGAGGTATCCGAAATCGAAGCGACCAGGTGGGCGAGTACGGTGGGCATCCCGGTCGTGACCGAAGCCAGTGCACTGAGCGGGGAGGGCGTCGACGAGATCTTTTCACGGCTAGCGGGAATGATTCTCACCAAAATCGAGCTTGGAGAGATTGATCCAGATGATCCGATGAGCGGCATCCAATACGGCGACAGCGGGGCATGGAACAACGCTGCTAGTGATGGCGGAAGTATCAAGAGCACGATGACTGGGGGAACAGTGGACGAAGGGCCGTCTGGCCTCCGAAGACGGCGGAAAGGCAGAAACCGCACACAGAACTGGGGGTTGCGGGAGTGGGAGGATGTGTTCACACTCAGCAGTCACCGCAGAAATCGCGGAGG